TGTGAACACCTCATCACAAACACCACACTCCAATAACTATGTAGAGAAATTACAATGGTTATCACCTTGTAATGTGAACACCTCATCACAAACACCACACTCCAATACCTGTGCAGAAGCATTGAACGTCATCGGATTAGTGGAGCTAAAATTGTGTGATTGATTGCTTTTTTTTTTTCCTTGCTTGAAGTTCCCTGGCCAATCAAAAATCATGATTTACACAAAGGTAATATGATTAACATACGACACCAGTTTTACCATAAAAAAGCACTTGGGTTTATCCAATAGTGATTTTCAGACAGTTTGAAAATTTCAGGAAAAATAACTTTAGAAAAGCAATTTGCCACACTAAAACATGCCAACATTTTTGAAAATAGTAATTTTAATGACAGAATCTGTCTGCTCTATTTTCTCTAAAACGGGCAAAACATGTGCTGACCAAAAACAAGTCGGTGTAGCCATTTCCGGCACAGGTGATTTTCAGACAGTTTGAAAATGTCAGAATAATGACTTTTGAACACTGATTTGCTAACTAACAAACGCCAACATTTTTTAAAAACTTTGAAACTTATATATATGCATACAAAATAATCTTGTGTTATTTTTTTGGCACATATTTTTTGCAGTGAGTTTGCCTCTTTGAAAAAGCTGCATTTAACCAACTTACATGACATTCTATGTTATTTCTACCCCAGCATTTGAAAAACATTATTTTCAACACAAATAAAACTCCTGCTACCTTAAATTACCAATATTATGATGCTGGCTATTCTGAAATCATTTAGTGCATATTATAATGTCACTCACTGAGAACCAAAAAAAAAAAGTTGAGGATTTTTTTAATTTCATTGCAGCAAACAGCACGATTAGTTTTGTTTTATATTGTTTGTGTGAAATTTTTTAATTTCTAAATCGAACCACTGATCATAAACTTAATTTTGATTAATAACATTTTTGTATTTACTAAAGTCAAATATTGGTTAGCTGCAGTTATGAAGCTCGCTTGGTTTCTCTGTGGATCATTTCGTTTGTCATGGTGTTAACTTAACGAACGAAATGATGTATCCATTGAAAACATGTCGAGCAGCTTCGAAAACTATTTTGTTATATCCAATTTATTTAAAAAAAATATTTGGGCATTTATCTATTTTTTGTTCTGATGGAGTGTATAAGACGTTAATCGACTGGGATCTGAATGAAGAAGCAGGAAAGATTACTATAATAAACTATACGCATACATGCAGTATGAATGATAGCAAGTGAATTGTCATGGAAGTAAATAACAACACAGTTATTGGGGGAGGAGGCTGTGTTTGAGTTATGACGTCCGTCAGATGAGCCACCGGCCTCGGGTGCAAACGTGGTTATTGTCAAAATGAAACCGTGCATTATGAAGAGGTAGATTAAAAACGCGTCAAGATTATTACAACTTACGTTGGTGTTTCCGTTTCTCGACCTACGAGCCGAAAATCTGCTGCCACAGCTCACTTGGCCGAGAGCGGCAGCCATTTTTGCAATACCACTTAACTTACTGTAGAAACTCCGAACACATCATCAAAGCCAACGTCGCCAATTTGCGTAGCGCCTATTGTCCAGAGTTCTGTCTTTTCACTCGCCCTTCTGATGTTTTAGATGTTGAACAACGGTATATCTAAGATTGGTGGGATACAAAAAGGAAGAAAAGATAGAATATTAGAGTAGTAGAAAAAAATAAATAATACAATTATTTCAAGTAACTTAAGGTGCTTCACAAATAACCAAAATGGAGGGCAGTCGAGAAAAAGAGCACTTGCTCGCTCTCAAAGGTTTGTTTTTTTATTTATTATTTTTAAAATTGAATACATATTAGGTGCTCAACTCGATACAGTCAGACACCGACAATTTGAAGTAAGTAAATATGTGAGACTAGGGACCACAGCGAGTATGCTTTCATAGGTACTTAAACGTTAAGTTAATCAATATTCAATACAACACATTTATTGACTATCAGTATCACACGCGCACTGATCGAGAGGGTGGAAATGGTTACTTCGGGCCCCTCACCCTTAATCATAATTAAAAATATATTTTCTCACAAGCTATCTTTAGCACTTTAATTTCTCAAGAGATGATAACTTGCAAAAAGTTAATTCCCTAGCCGGGAATCGAACCCGGGCCCTGTGGGTGAAAGCCACATATCCTAACCACTAGACCACTAGGGATATCTTAAACCTACTCTTTACCTTGTCAATCCAGTGCCCTCCCTCCCTCCCAAATATTAATGCAAACGATGGATGTAAAGAGGGTATAAACAACTTAAAAAAGAAAATTATTCACAACAATGCCATGAACTTTCTTATGTTACTTTTTGATGAGCTTTTTATCAGACCATTTATTACGTATGGCAGTAATGTTTGTGGTGATGAAAGTAGTATAAAATCAGGAATGTGGATCTCTCATTCTGCAGATTTGTACTTGGCATCTCTTAAAAACACATGAAAATTGGCAATCAATGTGAGATATTCTGTTCAAATATTAATTAAAAATAAATAATATGACCGAATTATATCTTCAAGTGTGATTCTTTCAACATCATGCATGCATAAAGTTCACACGAAATTAAATAAATTATTTGGCTGTAATAGACTGCACCATATGTGATTAGCTTTGGCCAATGAAATATTGGACATAAAACTAAAACAAGTAACTTCTCAGTATCCTCATTTTTTTTTTATTATTATTCTGAAGTTGTCATTAAATTTATAATTTTTTATCAAAACTGATTTTTTCTTTCTGTTCTGACTTAGAACAATCCCAACAAGCTTTAAGGCTTATGACATTTGGTGGGGGGTGAAGGGACTGGGGGACGGTCGATTCGTCCCAAATCACATTCGTCCCAAGTCGTTTCGTCCCACAAGTTAATTCGTCCCAAGTCGATTCGTCCCACAAGTTGATTCGTCCCACAAGTTGATTCGTCCCAAAGTCGATTCGTCCCACGCACTGTTTTTGCCGACGTTATATACAAATACACCTTATATGCAACGTAGAGTTATTAGTTAATAAAAACAAATACACCTTACACGCAACGTACAAGTTATTAGTTAATAAATACAAATACACCGTACACGCAACGTAGAGTTATTAGTTAATAAATAAATACAAATACACCGTTCACGCAACGTGGAGTTATTAATTAGCGTGTCAGTAACAGTTGGCATAGAAATTGACCCTGCTCAAGATCGTAATGCTGACCAAAAATTAAATAAATTGGACGAATGTGAATTGGGACGAATGTGAATTGGAACGAATCGACTCGTGGGACGAATGTGAATTGGGACGAATCGACTTGTGGGACGAATGTGAATTGGGACGAGTTGACTGTGAATCAAGGGACTTACACAAATTAGCATGAAATCCAAGTTTGATTGACACTGTACTATTATTCATATATTTTAGTAATGAGGTTGACAAAGCCTTCATTTATGACAACTATACCAGTATTATCAGAAGATAGGGATCTTCCTGGAAATCTGTTTCTTCAAGCTTTACAAACAGACTTGTCAAGTAATAAAGGAATTGAAAATTTTGCTATGGGAGAACTGTTAACACTGCCACAAAATTTTGGGTAAGTACCATGGAAATACTAATAAAGTTATGTCTGCATGACACTTTGTAAATCACAACTGTAATTAGTGTACCTGATACCATGTAAATCACAGCCATCTTGGATGTACCTGTGAAGTTGTCTGTACCTGGTACCATGTGAATCACAGCCATGTTGTACGTAACTGGTACCATGTAAATAATAGCTAAGTTGGATGTACCTTGTATTATGTAAATACAGCCCTGTTGGATGTACCTGGTACAAGTATTAAAATCATAGCGAAGTTGGATGTACCTGGTAAATCACAGCCATGTCGGTTATACCTGGTACGATGTAAATTTCTGCCATGCTGGTTGTACCTCATACCCATGTAAATCATAGCAAACTTGGGGTGTACTTGGTACCATGCGATTCATAACCAAGTTGAGTGGACCTGGTACCATGTAAACTCAGCTAAATTGAGTGTATCGTTGACTATATCAATTCAATGACTTGTTTTTTTCTAATGTGTAGAAATATATTCCTAGGAGAGACATTTTCCTGTTATATCAGTGTACATAATGATAGTAGCCAGAGCGTCAGTGACATATTGGTGAAAACTGATTTACAAACAAGTTCACAACGATTAACGTTATCTGGTGGAAATGTCTCACCAAGTCCAAATTTATCGCCTGAGAATTGCATTGATGAAGTGATACATCATGAAGTCAAAGAACTTGGTACACACATGTAAGTTTATGATCTAAAGTAAATTTCAGTTCATCTATGCTAATTACATAACACAGAGTCAAAGAACTCAGTACACACTAGAGAAAATTCATCTATGGCCATTACATAACAGAGTCAAAGAACTCCGTACACACTAAAGAAAATTCATCTATGGCCATTACATAACACAGAATCAAAGAACTCTACACACTAGTGTAAATTCATCTATGGCCATTACATAACACAGAGTCAAAGAACTCCGTACACACTAGAGTAAATTCAACTATGGCCATTACATAACACAGAGTAGAATAACTCTGTACACACTGGAGTAAATTCATCTATGGCCATAACGTAATACAGAGTCAAAGAACTACGTACACACTAGAGTAAATTCAACTATGGCCATTACATAACACAGAGTCAAAGAACTCCGTACACACTAGAGTAAATTCATCTATGGCCATTACATAACACAGTAAAATAACTCTGTACTCACTGGAGTAAATTCATCTATGGCCATAACGTAATACAGAGTCAAAGAACTTTGTACACACTAGAGTAAATTCAACTATGGCCATTACATAACACAGAATCAAAGAACTTCGTACACACTAGAGAAAATTTATCTATGGCCATTACATAACACAGAATCAAAAAACTCTACACACTAGTGTAAATTCATCTATGGCCATAACGTATTAATACAGAGTAAAATAACTCTGTACACACTGGAGTAAATTCATCTATGGCCATAACGTAATACAGAGTCAAAGAACTACGTACACACTAGAGTAAATTCAACTATGGCCATTACATAACACAGAGTCAAAGAACTCCGTACACACTAGAGAAAATTCCTCTATGGCCATTACACAACACAGAATCAAAAAACTCTACACACTAGTGTAAATTCATCTATGGCCATAACGTAATACAGAGTAAAATAACTGTACACACTGGAGTAAATTCATCTATGGCCATAACGTAATACAGAGTCAAAGAACTCCGTACACACTAGAGTAAATTCAACTATGGCCATTACATAACACAGAATCAAAGAACTTTGTACACACTAGAGTAAATTCAACTATGGCCATTACATAACACAGAATCAAAGAACTTCGTACACACTAGAGAAAATTTATCTATGGCCATTACATAACACAGAATCAAAAAACTCTACACACTAGTGTAAATTCATCTATGGCCATAACGTAATACAGAGTAAAATAACTCTGTACACACTGGAGTAAATTCATCTATGGCCATAACGTAATACAGAGTCAAAGAACTACGTACACAGTAGAGTAAATTCAACTATGGCCATTACATAACACAGAATCAAAG